TTCATTCAACCCTTTGAACTGTAAAATGGAGTTTGTCCTACCTCTAAACCATGATCTGGCAGTCAAGAAATGCACTGCAACATCTAATAACACCCCTGTCCTCAAAGGAACGGGCTGAAGTGAGTTCATATTTCCAAACTGCTCCATAGTATTTATTGCTAGGAGAAGAAAATGTTGGCAAAAAGTATTTCCAGGGACCACAAGATTAGCTCATCTGTGTGGACACAAACCACACAACTTCTTCTCTGAATGCTACAGCTTGGAAAATTAGTTAACGTCCTATGTAACAAAGAAACAGAAGCATGGGTTAAACAGAAAGCATCAGCAGTCCTGATGGAATCCACCATCGAGCTGCGTGGCTCCAGTTGCTCAGAACCAGGACTTGGAGCAATCCATGCTGCAGTTATGTGCAATACTGTGTTGTACCACTGTACAAATGCCATATATTCTAGGGCAATATTCCAAGACGAGACACATGTGAAGCCCAGGTAATGAAAGGAAGACACAGTGCAAAACAAGCTTGAAGAGATTAGGAAGCAGAACGGAGACTAAAAAGTATTTAAAAAGTATAAAAAGCTTTTTTGAAGTGGAAAAAATAGCAAAGGTGTTCTGCATTTGTAGAACACACTCTGAGTAACAGCAATGTTTATATGAAACATTCTGTGTAATGACAAAAGTCTGATGCATCTCCTAAGACAGACCCACTGCTGAGAAATATCAGAGCTAACAGCTTGTCTGCGAGATGCAACTTCTTACCTTTCCTCCAACACGTAAAAGCATGACGATGCTGATGGAAGATGGAACATAAGCATGCTGTGCTTCTTTATTAAAATCTTCATTAAAGGCAAATGAGAAGTGAAAACATGAGTGAATGACTGTGACCAGCAGATTCCCTAGGACAGGCTCCGAGCCTGAAACTGGCCCAACCTGCACGATGTGCAGGAGTACATGGACACACACACACACACACACACACACTGCTCTGTGCAGCACACTCTACACAAGCAGGAGTCAAATGTGTTTCCTATTAAACAGATGTGGGTGGTCTGCTCCTCCATCTGAAGCAGCATCGCCTCGATTAATTTTGTAAAGCAACACAGTGCTTAATTCTATCTGAACAGCTCTCTGAAGAGCTCTTTTCTATCGAAGAGTATTAATATCTTTCAGCCAGTAAAATATAAAGATGAAATAAGTGTTAACCCATGAACTGAAGGTTAATGCAATTCACTCTACAAAGCAGTCCTGGAAGCAGACAGGGAAATTCAGCAGTACTGAACTGACAGCCAGACATAACCACAGGGATGCTATTAGGAGGACTTTTGGTGTCCATCAACACCACAGAACGTAAGGGCACAGCTCTTCCTTCACACAGTTAGCGAATCTACATCTCTTGCTTCCACCCAAGCCCTCGCTCTGCATTTCCTTTGTAGATACTGACCTTGTCTCCTCTTGTCTAATTTGGCCAAAATTGACTGATGTGTTAAAAAATGACAGGTGAGAGCCTGCAGAAACAAGTGTGCAGATGCAAGAGAGTCACAGAGCCGAGGCACTAACAGCAAATGGGGAATAATTCATGCTATTTCCTTTCTATTCCAGCATTCCTATTTTATACAACAAGGATTACTGACAGTGGTGGTGATCTTGAAAGGGCTAATCCTGAATTTTGTGTTACATACTGAAAATCAGAACTGCTGGTGTCCTTGTATTTCATGAGAAAATGTCTGTTTTCAGTAGGGCTGAAGTAATGAGCTACTTAATGACACAGAGTGCCTTTAAGTCATTTTGGTTCCTTGCCTAAAAACTTTCCTCACTACTGCTGCCACCCCACAAGCACATTTTATACCACAAATGAAAATGTATACTTCCAAAGATAAACTTTCATCTCCCTGTGGTGAACCTTATGCAGCACACCAAGAATTTTTCATAGACATGCATCCATTCGTTCTCTATAGCTTCTGCACATTAGTCAAAATACTTTCTATTAAATACAGATCTGGATGTCATCTTTCTCTTCTAGAAAAAGAGAAAGGAAGAAATAGCTTTCCACTGGCAAAACTTAAAGAAACCTGAAACAAAAGAGAAGATATAATCCTTCATGCACTGGCTTGAGCACTGCTAGCTAGGATTGGTAAAAGCAAGGCTGATGACATTAGATTTACATTTAAGTTTAAAACAACGCATCAAAGTAGTACAGCTCAGAGCACAAGCAAACCACACAGTCAGGACAACAACATAACTTGGTTCCCATGCCAGCACTGCCCTCAGTTTTTGGTAGGATTTATGGAGCAACACATCACAGAATCATTGAGTCATAGAATGGTTTGGGTTGGAAGGGACCCCAAGGATCGTGAAGCTCCTACTCACCCCCTGCCACAGGCAGGGCCGACAACCTTCCCATTTCATAGCAGCCCAGGCTGCCCAGGGCCCCATCCAACTTTAACACCTCCAGGGATGGACGGGGCATCACAGCCTCTCTGGGCGGCTAGAACTTCCCCAATACCCAACCTAATTCTTTCTTCTCTCAACTTGAAACCATTTCCCCTTGTCCTGCTGTTATCTACCCTTTCAAAGAGTTGACTCCCCTCCTGTTTGTAGGCTCCCTTTAGGTCCTGAAAGGCTGCCATGAGGTCATCCCACAGCCTTCTCTTCTCCAGGCTGAACAAGCCCAGCTCCCTCAGCCTGTCATCAATAACATCATCAATAAGAACCAGATGGGCTCTGCAGTAGTACTGCCAAGCAGGCACGGCGTGCCGGGGCTCTTCTCACCGCCCCTCTGACAAATGGAAGGATGAAATGGATGAAATCCTGGCACAGCTGAACTCAACAGGAGTTGTACAACGCAGCCAGAACCTCATCCTTAAATGTTATGAGGCATTTATCCATATGCTCTCTCACATCACAGCAAATTCATAATCTGCCTCCCGAAACCAAATCGCATTTTAAATGAATTATTGGTAGTGATAAAATAACACGAAATCATTGTTTGTGGGCCAGCGTTGTTCCTAGTAAATTTATTGCTTCATAAAGTTTACATGAATTCTCTCCAGTTGTCACTATAGATGCAAATCTCAACAGCCATTAACATCCAGGCACTCATAACAACAAACTGGGCAGTTTCATGCAGGGCACAGTTGTTTCCAAAGGCACACAGCCTCCAGTTGGTTACATATTGGCTCCCAAAAGAAAGCAGTGCACCAGTCAATGTGCAGAAGGAACTTTCAGAACTGTGCTTATGGCACAAAAGACACAAACCCAGCAGCTCCTATGTCCATCACTCAGAATGCTGCTGCTTATGGCCTGCTGTTGGTTGTACTCCTGCCACTGAAACCTTTCCCACATGCAGAGATCACCTCAACCATCCCATTTCTTAAGGATCACAATGCCTCACAGAATTGACTTGCCCCTAGCATTAGCTCACACATTCCTTCCCAACGTCCACCTTTTCAAATCTGTCTAGGTTTAAGAACAATGTAACGCAGTCATTTGCACTGATGAGATCAATAGATAAAATTTAGGAGATCCAAATTCCTTTGGATCATAATCTCCTCTACAAACACACATTTAATGTGATTGCAGTACAAGCCTGACATCTGCTTCAGGTACACAAAAAGACGATTGGCCTAATGCAGCAAACTGAATGGTTATTGCCTATTACATTCCCTGAGATAGCCAGTAAACTACTAGAAATAAAAACAGGTCAATAGGAGTTTATTTCTTGGCTCAGTTTAGAAAATAGAAAGCAGAGCAGTATCATCATCAAACACTCTTCTGTGTAACTATTAAACCCATTGCCTTAACAAAAGCATAAAAACAAAACATCGAATTCTTCAAACAGCAATGGAAATAAGCTCTGTCTGGCTACGTTCTTAAGCCTTAATTGGCATTTCAAATTGGCAATGGCATACAAAACATTGTAGTGTAACAAATTATTCCTTCCCTACTAATCCATGGGTGACCTACATAAGATCTGGCTATAAAGAGTGAGATCTGGTTCAGTGAGTCAAGCTGGTCATTTTCAGACACACTCAATTCTACACTCATGTTTAAAGCTTTCCTCCCTTCACACAACATACGTAGAAAGGCATCACACAAGAGCTGAAGCACTGTATCAGATGCATGTCTGCAAGGCCTTCACCTACTTCCTTTGCAGTAAAATATTTACACCACAGCACGAGGAAGAGACTTGGCTGTCCTCATTAATGTATTCACCAAGTAATCCCCTACTAGAAGCCACTGTATCAGAGTGAGATGCATATATTCAGATTCTTTTTCACTCCTAACTAGGGGCTATGCTTACTATATTCTGTATGCAAAACATTTTTAATACCTTTCACACTGCCAAAAGCTCCATCTGCAATATAAGTAATATATGCAGTAACAAACAGATAGCTTTAATTACCAAAAAGATTCACACACACTGCAGCAGCCAGCAGTACATCAACACGGTGTGAATTCTTGCTGTGAAGCCACAGACTTTGTGACACTTAATCTCTCTTCAAAAAAAGAGATGGCAATTTTTTTCCATCTCAACATCAGAGTGACTTCTGAAATAATACACACAAATGAAGAGTAAAAACCTGAGATGAAAGGCGATTATTTTGAACACATGAGCAGTATTTAAATGCCCCTGTTCACTGTAGGGAGTTGGACTAGATGACCTGTCAGGGTCCCTTCCAACTGAAGAGGTTCTATGAATAACTAAATAAATAACTCGTTTCCTTTTATGATCTCTTTCAATTTAGCCAAAGACTATTTGCTACACTTGGTGTGCTCGCAGCTGCTAGCTGCAATTAAATCTGAATTCAGATTTCGATGCTGAGGCATTTCTGGCCCACAACAAGCTAACTTAAAGCAGTCCATTAGGATTCCTTCATAAACAACAGCTGAAAAACCATTTGTCTGGCAACACGCTCCGTTCTCACGTAGCGCAACTGCAAGAGGCCCACAGTTGCTGTCTTATCAATGCCGAATAAACCTGGAACTTTCAGTACTGTACTCACAGCGGATTCCGTATATCATGAGAGGATCGAGCTGCTTCTTGCCATGCTTCCCCTGGCCTGAAAGGTTGGAGATGGCCTGAATTTCCCGATGGAAGAGATAATCGAGCAACGTCAGCGCCATCTTCTCGGCCGTGCGGCAGTTGGTGCTGATGTGCAGCATGTCAGCAGGGGTGATGGGGCAACGGACCCGCATCTCAGGGTTATTTTCATCTCCAAGCCACGTCCCATTGGGGTAATCCTCTAGAAACAGAGATTGTGGAAATTGTTATCGTGACCAGGAATGAAAGAGTCAGGTTCAGGTAGCAGCCAACATTTAAGTTCTTCCTGTTTTCTCTGCAGTCTCCATAAGCTTCTTTCAGATCTAGAATGACCGATAGGCTCACAGTACTTGTTGTGGATAAAAAGTTAATTCTCAAAGCTGCATCAACAGTGAGCAAAGCAGAGACCATTAACATCCTGTCCTACAGAAGGAACCCCGTGCAATTAGTCCAAACGTCTAATTCACTCTCAGCTTTCAGAAGTGTCTCGTGTTAGAAGCCAACAGCTGAAAGCACGCTGCATTCACCGTATTCAGTGCTCTCATTTTTATCAAGTTAGTCATTCCCTAAAAATGAATTACTGCAACCCCGTAGCATTCTCAAAGTATAGCTAATCCCAACAAGCTAGCAGCTTTGAACCACATTTCTCCCCAAAAGCATCAGACTAAAACAAGCCTAAGCAAGATTATAAATTTAAGGAGTTGTACTCAATAGTGGTCAGTACCTTATCTGATCACTTACAAAAACAGTATTTTAAGTAATAACAATCACTCAAAATGTAGCCAGAGATCCCAATCAGAATTTTGTTTTCCCCTCAAATTTACTGGCCAGCATTCTATATTATTTCCTAAAAACACAGCTTACCAAGGAATAGTCCCAGCACAAAGATAATAAATGAATCATTAGTCATCTCCCCAGTGCATCTTCCCTTCTAGTCAAGGATGAGGTCATTAGCAGGGCAATATATTTTAATTTTAATCACTGCCAGAGCTACACCTAACTTCTCTGTGTGCACACACTACTCTGTATGTCCATCTGCAGAAGATTTTTGAATTTGCCACAGTGTCTCACTTTGAGGGGAGCAAAAACTATTCACCTTAAGAGACACCAAGCCCTCAGTGTAAACAAATCCTTGGTAATGCCAAAAGTTGGTGGATATGAGACTAACAAGGAGCTGGAACAGAGCTCAGAGGGATGACCAACCACTAATGGAGGATGGGATGCAACACATGACAGAGGGCGAGATGCTCATTCCAAATGAAAGCAGGATTCCCAGTACAAACGTTGACAACATCAGTAGGAATTGGGAAAAACAACCAGTGTTCACTGACAGAGGCCATTTCTGTGTTTGATTTCTGTGTTTGCTCTTAGTAGAGTAAAACACAAAGCTTCCTCACTTAGGAACACTTCGCTTCTCCCGCTCCAGAGCATTACAGCATCTTCCCACTGCTTCACATATCACCAGAATGGCAAACATGAGAAAAAGGCAATCAAGTATATGATTTATCCCACACAAAATGCCTTCGAAATGGAGCTTTATGGCATAAACAAAGTCATAAAGTCCTGTTTTCCATAATCCCTTTTAGTCAGCTAAGTGACAGAAGTCCAACAGACGAGCACTCTTCGTACTGAACCCCAAGCAATCAGCAGCTTTCCCTCTAACAACTGGTACACGCCGTCAGCCCGCATTTCACCAGGCTGTAAGCCAAGAAGATACGCAATAAAACCTACCATAAAAGCAGCTCCAACACACAGAACAGTTTTTCCATACGACCTTCAGGTTGGGTCATACCACTGCTGTCAGATGTAATTTCATTGCAATGAATTATGACAGTACGGAGCAAACGTTAGATTGTGCAACGGTGATGTATCATCACAAAGAACAGATTATCAAATGTAATAACGTCTAAGGAAAAATACTTATCACTGACATACGGAGCAGCTAGCCCCTCCAATTTATTTCTGATGAAATCAGAATTTAATGCTCTGCTCTGAATAGATTGTTAGATGCCTCTTTCTATTCATACGTATGTAAAGTACTTCATATGTACATTTTTGCTTGTACCTAAACTATGTAATGAAGCACACGGGTGGTTTTCTGTCCACAGCACCAGGTGCCATCTGAAAAATAAGGTGGTTCAGATTAATTACGACTTGTTCTGAATGCCACTGTGTCTGGCCTTACCACAAGTCTGGTTAACATTATCAGGGAAAATAACATTCTGTTCCTGAAGACAAATGGAGTGTTTGATAAAAATTTGGACAGAGCTGGCAAAGCAAAGATGTCATTGGAGAGATGTGGATGTTTTTCAGAAGAAAACCTAGGAAGCAAAAGGAAGGTGCTACACGCCTTCCCAACCTCACTACTTCACCAGTTCACACTATTACCATTAGGTGTAAGTAATTCATATATTGGGAAACTTTCATCTGTACTCTTGCTAGCAGCCTACACCAACCAAAGATTCTTATCAATCTGCAAAATCAACACTTGTGTGGTTTTGTCTCTTTTTCTCTACTGGCACCAAGTCCAGAACATACTGTTTTCACCACATGCAACTGTCCTTTTATTGCTAGCAGCCTGCAAAAAAGACACTGCCTTGTTATTCTGACCTATGAATGCAAGCCCCATGTGAAATTCTTTCTTGTATTTCCATCCTGCTTTAAGGATGAAAGCTGCAACTGAAAGCTTCCTTTTGTCTGCAGAAATACAAGGAATCATTAAAGAAAAATGATGTGCATGAAATTACCAGTGGTCTTTGCATACATCCACTCAATGTTGACGCCAACACTTCCATTCAGTCCAAACTAAACTGGTTTGAATATGCCAGATTAATTCATTTCCTGCAGCCTTCTAAATGAAATTCTTCCTGTCCAAATGAAACCTGAACAGTACCAAAATGCTGATGGTAATGAGAGCCTGATGATGCAGAAGAGCACGGTAACCTAACAAGAATTCTGACAGCTCTATGGATGCGTCCAGCCTTTTCCTCACCTCTCCTTTTCCCATGCACTCCAGGTCACGTATATAAACACATATACATAACCATCACCCAAAGCCTTAAAAGCTGAGGTCCACAGGCTTTGCTGTGTAATCATTTAGTATCAGTGAAACTTACATGGGTGAAGTTACACGTGACCATCTTGCTGATCTACCTGATGGCACACAAGCTAAAATTCTCCTCATCACGTATGAAAACATCTGACTTGTAAGGCAAGGCTGGATAAGGCTGTGGGCAACCTAATGGAGCTGTGGATGTCCCTGTTTGGAGTAGGGCAGTTGGACTAGGTGACCTGTGGGGGTCTCTTCCAACCCTATGGATTCTGTGATTCTATGAAAATATTAGCCATACTGAACTGTCAGCACATCAGGCACCTCGGACACAACAACTAGGAAAAGACTGACATCCAAAATAACGGTGAGAAGAGGAAGCAGAGTGCCAGTTAGGAGGGAACGGGCTCTGAATGAGTGGAGAAAAGAGACTGAATAGGGAGAGGGACAAAAAGACAGAGTTTGATGGACGTTCTTTTCTCTGAGCAATTATTTAGCACATAAATACTATTGATTAAAGCTACTTTCATTCAAAGCTTCCAACACTCAAGCCTCCTTTTCTGTTCACTGTAATGGCTCCTGATGTGAATTATCAGGCATTATATTTATATCTAGATGGGATCTAGATGGGCCGGGTTATTTAGTACATACATTGCAAGACTGGGATACTGAGCCAGGCCTCCACCAGGCACTGCACAACCACAGCAGCACAGCTTCTGCTCTTTCAAGACTGCCAAAAGACAACAAACACTCAAAGGGCTGGGGAGGAAAAATACAGTCAGATAACAAGCTTTGCTTAAAAACCAGCGCGTATAAATGCACGCACTCATCTGTATGCCAGGGTAAACACAAACCTTTCTGATTTCACCCCAAAGGATTTTTCTTTCATTAATTTTCCTAATGGCTCTGCCGTTCCACTTAAACTCTGGCATGCAGAATGCACTCTGCAGAGGAGCTCCACCATGAGATATGTGCTGCAGAAAGGTGCTTCCTTGCACTTCTGTACGCCAAATACTGTATCACCAGCAAAGTGGCTCTCGATCATTCCTATTTCCAGTGTTAAAAGTCCTGATGTTTTTATCTGATTTGCTCTCTGCACTCAGAAACTCATTTCAATGACAGACAATCTAAGTTTCTGGTTTCTCTTCACTGTTTTTTTCAAGATCAGAAAATTTGCCTTTATCTCCATCCTGCTGAATCCAGAACTAGTTTGCTTTTCAATGCTGTTTTCAAATCTTTTTGACTGTATTAAGTCCATTCCTTTTATCTCAGAACACAGTTGACCGTTTCTCTGTGACCAGAGAACGCAATGGTTTCAGCAAGCACGTGTGAGCAGGCAGAGGAGGCTGGGGCTGCTGCACTGCCATGTACTGCTGCAGAAACAGCACAGGGAGCTTTGTGGTCAGCATCCAAACCCCAGTGCCGAGAGCACAGCCATCAGACAAGAGTCATTGCAGATCTCATGCCTGGTCTCACCACGCACATGTGCGTCCACCCAAGGAGATGGCAGACCCTGCACTGCTATTCACATCTTTCCAGTGGGACACGTTCCCCTATTCAACGTGTAAGCACCAGCAGTAAGACCAGAAACAAAGCTGGGCTTTGCTCTCTCACCCTGTGCTGTCGACCATTCCTTTAAAACAAAGGCAAACAAGATGGAGCACCTGCCCACATAAATACTGGAATTAACCCATTCCATTACTCAGTGCGGTTGCATTTGAAAGGCAGGGTGGAAGCTGGTACTTGCAGCAGGAAAAAAAACCACCTGGTAGCTGCCATAGAAAGGCAGAGAGATTACTTAAGCTCAAAACAAAAAGAAACCCCCAGTCCTGGAGACATTAAGTAATATTCTGGCTAATGTGTAGGAGATTTTGCATCTTCTTAAGTAAACTCCTGTCAAACAGCTGGAGGGCTTTGGCCCTGCAAGGGTTCATGGGGGTGTGATTAGCAGAGAGCTCCCAATAATCCAAACTCAATGCAGTCCCATTCCTATAGCTTTCCTTGGCTTTAACCCATCAGTAAGTTCGTGAGGTCTGATCAGTGTGCTCACATCAGCTGTGCACACTGCTATTTTAAGGATGGAAAACGTTTGCTGTGTGAAGGTTCACTCTTGCTGTCTGCATGTGGACATGAGGAGCTCAGCAGGAAAAGCA